AAGAGAAGAATTGCGAACACACGCATACCGAAATTTTATTTAAAAAAAAATTATTTAAAAAAAATTATTTAAAAAAAATTTTGATGCACTGGCTTAATATTATATTTGGGTGATAAATTGCTTGTTGACTGATGATTTCTTTAAAACTGAATGATAAATTTTAAACCTTAACTATAACTTAAACCATTCCCATGCAAGACTCATTGCAATTAGTTAAATAGCGTATTAAAAATATAAATGTCAAAGCTCCAAATTAAGCGCCATTTTGTCAAAAATACCCGCCTAAAGCATACTTGACATAATTATGCTCAAAGAGAACGAAACTAAATGAACGCCACCTTTACCGGGTTAAAAGATTTTTAAAATTTAGAACGTTTTGTAGTTGAAGTCACTTTAAAATTCTCATAATAAAGAACGCTGGAAAACCCCGATTCAAGCCAAATATGTTTTCAGTGAACATGAAATTTTGCTAAAATCCATAAAAATAAAAATTTAATTTCAATAAAAAGTAAAAGGCGACTTCAAACAATTAAGAAGAACAAAAAAGTAAATATAATAAAAAAATCATTTAATATCAATATTCATAAATTTAATAAAATTCATAAATTTTATTAAAAGATCATTTTTAACCATTTGAGTGGACTAAAGGATCTCACAATCCCAGTGTCATATAAATAGTTCTTTAAAACATTACATCCCCTACTTTACTGATGCTGGATGGAATTGTTTCTCCAAATTTATATAGAACCACCTTAAAGTATAACCTATTTATTAAACAAGTGATAAAATTATATATTTTGTACAACCGACCTCAATATAAATAAAATGAGAACATTATCAACGTAGTCGAAGTCAATTAAATACGCATTAGTAACGATAACTCAAGAGTCAGATCTTGATCAAATTTATATTAACCCTTATATATTAATCAAATTTAAATTAAATCGGTTCACCTAGAAAAAAGTTCTGAGGTAACACACATAAAAAAATACAGTCGAATTGAGAACCTCCTCCTTTTTTTTAAGCCGGCCAAAAATAATGGGATGGGATGTGGTCCGGGGAAGGGCCACGCTCTCACAGAGTACCAGCGTAAAATAGCAGCTTAATGCTTCTGTAGTCATATACTGCTGGGCTGCAGTAGTCATATACCATCAGGTAGACTGTATGTTCGTTTCTCACTTCAATTTTATTAAAAAAAAACTGTTATTTATTTTTGCCGCCAATATATCCACTGTTATATTCAGCTTTAGTATGTATGGGGAGCTACTGTAAATACAGACTCTGATTACTTTCTTTCGTTATGTTTCGTATGGTGAGTGTAGAGAACCGGAGATCCTTTTTACTGGAAGTTAGGCATTCCATTTTAGTCCTCACGAGTGTATTCAATATAACAGTGGATATATTGGCGGCAAAAATAAATAACAGTTTTTTTTTTAATAAAATTGAAGTGAGAAACGAACATACAGTCTACCTGATGGTATATGACTACTGCAGCCCCTGGACACCTGCAGCCAGCTTTAAATTAAGAAGGCTACAGTTGCTTTGTCACCTAAGGACAAAGAATATTATTATTTATACGTGGTAGAGACACTCTGCAGCTATGTTATGGTTTTAGCACGAACGGGTCGGCCAGACTAGTGAAGGACCACTCTCCCACAGAATACCAATCAATGCTGCTGTGTTTCTTATGGTGAGCGAACAGGAATATAATTTCTTTTTGTTTATAAAATGCAGTAAATTGAGGTTTTCTTAGCACTGTCACTGCCACTAAAGATGAAGAACAAGTTTTTGAATGACATATATTTGCGCCAGGTTTGCATGTTTGTCCTTGTACAATTTATGTATGTAAACAGAGAAAAATATTGAATAAAACTATTTTTTACGGATTTTATCACGTTTAATTTACTAATTTAATCCCCGACGTTAAACGTAAAACGTCGGACAGGTAGGACAAGCAAAAAGATCCATTAAAACCCGCGTGAAAGAACATATAGCTGACATGAACCTCCGACGCTCTGAGAAGTCTGCAGTCTGTGAACATGTTCAAGATCGTACCCGCTATTACATCAGATTTGATAGACCACAAATCCTCGCAAAAGAACACCGATTCCGAAATTAAAAAACATCCTAATTTCAATAGAGAAGATGAATGGGTGCTGCCATCTTCTTGGGATCCTATAATTAACAAAATTAAATCCAAACCCAATCCATACCACTGCAAGACTTCAAGAAACTGTAAGTTCATTCTGCGTAAATCGAACCAAAAATTAATATTAAAAAACTGAAGGTAGCCGGGCTAACTGTGACATCGGGACGTCAAACATCTCAGTGCTTATTTATATACCTACTATTTTAGTTTTATTTATTAGTTGTAAGTTTTATTTTATGATAAGTGTGTTACTTGTCTAAGACCCTGTATGGTTAATGCGCAGAGGCTATGGCAGAATAGCAAGAGGACTAAGTTACCAGTACAACTGAGTCACAGACCGTTTTGTTACAAATGATTATTAAGCTGTCTCTTTAAATTTAAAAGATGTATTTTTGTGGCAAATAAATACATTTTATTTTATTTTTGTAAAATTCCTCGATACAGGAGAAAATCCTCATTCAAATAACGTTTAAAATGCATTTAATTATCACGGCGTGTTTGTGCAGATTTTGATTCAGCAGGTTTCGCATTGCACATCGATTGATCAATAAATCGATTACTCACAAATGAGTAATAAACATCGATTGTAAGTTTAGAAGGTTTACGGAACAACTGGGTTCCGGAGTGCCGATGCTGCGATAAGCAATTAATGCAACCTTACAGTATAGTCTAGGAGTCAGCATTTTATTTTTCATTAAATAAAATTTAGTAGGAACATCTTCTATAAAAATAATACAGTAGACATACCATACCGAAACTGTTATAGCCTTTCACTACTCAACATAGGCCTCCCCCATAGATTATATCATAGAGGGGATATTTGCTATAGGTGCCACGCTTGGCAAGCGGGTTGGCAACCGCAGGTTTTTATCATTAGTCGTTATAAGGAAGTCGTTGCGGCCAATCTTCATTTGTTTCCCTCTGTCGCCTCTTACGACACCCACGGGATGATATAGCGTAGTGCATATTCTTACACTGCCACTACATGGTCAGCCGACACGGTCAGCCATACCGTAATATACACATCGAATTACTAAAATTAAAAAATTTCAAAACCTCCGAATCAAAACAGCTTAGGGGAAGCCTATGTTTAACAGTGGACTTGTGGTAAGCTGTATTGATGGCTTGAAATTTGCAAGCTGCAATGTTAGCCGAATATGTCCGATGATCGAAATAAGAAAGCACACTTACTATAAAGAAGGCTAGCGCAAGTACAAAACGTGGCAAAAATATTTTATTTTTAACTATCTTATGCCAACATATATATATATATATATATATATATATATATATATATATATATATATTATATATATATATATATATATATATATGCCGACCCCTTCGTGCTACAACTATACTATTAATATAGCTGCAGCATGGCTCTACCACGTACAAATTTTTTTATCAATAAGGCTTTCGCAGACATGTAAAGTCCGTGAACATGCATTGGGGCAGTGCAGTAGACTTCTTTGCCCTAAAACCCACACTTCCTCCCATTTAAAAAACCCTTTTAGAAATGGGAGGTAGCATGTGTACAGGAGTGGGACGTATATAGGCTGTTACTCTACTTTTACCAATACGTAGCATTAGCTAATGTTCTCCAGACCGAATTTGAGTGTGTACATATATATACATATATATATATATATATATATATATATATATATATATATATATATATGTACATATATATATATATACATATATATACATATATATATATATATATATATATATGTGTACATATATATATATATATATATACATATATATATAAACTATTCCTACTATATAATACCTGGGCTTGCACATACACCTACTAGTGCACTTTATATTAGAATAGATTATATAGTAGGAATAGTTTATATATATATATATATGTATATATATATGTACATATATATATATATATATATATATATATATATATATATATATATATATATATATATGCACTCTCTATTCCCTTACTCTAATAGTCCGATGGGTTGGCACTCCGTCAAAACCGGAGAGAGATCACGTACAGGACTACAAGCTTGACGTGATTTCTAAGGTAGTAAGGTAGTAGTAGTAGTAGACATCATCATTTTCCTGACTCCGGGCTACTCCTGAGAATTTTTGACAGAAAACCTAATAACTGATATTGGCCCGACCTAGGATTCGACCCCGGGGCCTTATGATTAGCAACAGCTAAATACTACTCAATGAATTATACAAATTTAACTGATTTCAAAATAAGTTTAATTCAATATATGATAATATGATATGATTTTTCATTTTATTAAAACTTCTTAACATATCTTTCCAATGTGGATTTCAAGCCCTAGTCAATCCGGCTCGATGGACCATTATTTGACAAAGGTCTTTAAAGTCTGAAGATAAAAGAACGAACACATAGTCGTCGGTGATCCAATTTGAAGTATTGTACTTGTTGCGGTCAGCTGGTCGCTCAAACAAGTGTATGTGCCTCGTCCCGTACGCCTCACAAACCCATCCTTAATAACCGGTCCGCGCGTCGAAGTATAAACAAACAGAATACGTATGTCTGTAAAGACTCTGTACATTTACAAAGCAATTAATTCAGATCACGCAGTGCGGTTCCAGTAAACATACTTTACATTACTCATGTACAGCTCCCGAACTATACAGCTGAGAGAATACATCAACTATTTAATGCCTGTCATAGAGCACACACGTGTAGTCGCGAACGTGCGCGCTTTGTAAACGCGTGAAATAAAATTGTTAAGTTAGATTATGAATCGAAACTTAAAGTTTTCGAGTGGGGACAGAAATAAAACAAAACACTTCGCCGACCTCATTTTCATGTGCGCAAAGTGAACAAATTATAATGTTATTTCTTTTATTTATAATTTTGGCGGGATACGCTGTCAGATGCGACGATGCGAGGTATTTGTTTTTTTTTTTTAATTTAATAATTTTAAATTTATTTGGACAATGGACGTATTGAACACGGAAATTGTTTGTAATCTGATTAATGTTATGTTGCAAAAAGTCTTTGCTATGTTTGTAAACAAATATTATGCTGAATCAACGTATCAATGAAAAGCTGGTTTTGTTCGTGCAGTTTTATAATTTAAAAATAAATAAATATGAAATCACCTTGACATAACGCGTATGTTGCTATAGTCACGGTTTACTTTTTTTAATATACTTTATAATATTTTTAGCCTGCGTGCAAAATAAAAAAGTAATAGATACATTTTATTTCAAGTACATAATATTAGTGAATAAAATTACTTGAAATAAACTAAATTTATTTAATTAAAAAAGGAACATTATTTTATGTAACTTTTATATGTAAAATTTGAACTTTTGTGCTGTTTAGTTAGTTTTTGCATGTAAAGTAGGGTTCCTCGGTTTTACTTTTTTTTTTTGTTAAATATTGCCACTATGCTCTTTTTTGTAGTGCACATTTTCACAGCATTTTAAGATTATTTCACATTTTAAGTCACATAATTTAAAAAGTTTACAGGGTGAAAAGATGAGGTAACCCTTTTTATGGAACCTCATATTTTTTTTAAATTATCTTTTAATTTGAAGTGGCAATTTGTCAGCCATATAGCTCGATCAACAATCGATGGGGAAGAAAAGTTCTCGAGTAGCAGCCTCGTATAGGCAGGTGAAGTGTACGGCGGCCCCCCACTACATAGAGTGACGACCTGGTAAGACATGCAGGAAGTCGATAGATGCAGGTGGCCTATGTTCAGCAGTGAACTTGTGCTATAATGATGATGACCTCTTTTGATGACATATATTTGATAAGTCCAGTTATGAAATTTTCCATACCTTAAATACGTTATTTAAAAAAAAATTTTTTTCAATTATCTATATTCTGCTATTGGTACAGTAATTGGATAATATATATTTCTTGGTAACTTAAATCAATATTCTCCAGATCGAATTTCGCCAACTGCGCAGGGCAAGTACTAAGTACAATGCACAAGTGTGTGAAAGCACAGGTGCACTCTCTTTTCACTTTTACAGTCCTATGAGGCGGTAATCAAATACGATCGGAGATAAATCGGACGCAAAACTAACGGGCTTTAAGTGCTTTCTAAGGCGAGGTGATAACTCACCGCCAACTTCCTGACTCCAAGCTGCTACCGATAATTTATCAACAGAAAAGCCACATAACAAATTTTGGCCCAATTCGAACCCGTGACCACATGATCAGAAGTGGCACTTACAGGTACTAGACCAATATGGCATTCAAATTTGTAATAATCCGAAGACCTTACCTTGCTTGTCAAGCGTCCTTCCAAACACAATGCGGGTATCTTCAAAAAGATAGTGAACTTGCTAGTGCTTTTTACGACTTTAATCGCCTTTTTTGTATATTGGTCGTAAAAAGCGTTGAAAATGAAGTCCCGTGTTCGAATCCCGACTCGGGCCAGAATCAGTTATTGAGTTTATGTCACACTGAGGACTAAGGCGGAATGCTTCGTTTCCTGTAAAAAGGTCTCCGGATATCTACACTCACCATATGAAAGCACAGCAGCATTAAGCTGCTATTTCACGCTGGTATTCTGTGAGAGTGTGGTCCTTCCCATTCTGATCCATTCGTGCTGCATTCATAATATACCGGGAGCTTGACTCTACCACGTAAAAAATTGTTCTATATTCTTACACAGCGAGTACACGGTTCCTTCTTTATCATTCACCAGTAAACACATTGGCCATAGCCTTCTTCCAGGTAGGAAAATTGTCCTCAACTGTCACGCTCGGCAGGTCCATTGTAATTGCAGTATCAAGCGCGGATATTTTACACAAATTTTGACGATATCTTTAGAACCAACCAACCAAACGATATGGGCTACACGGCGTTCGAAACTGTTCATTGAGACTTCGAGCTGATTAGATTTTCGAGAGTCAAGCCGTTTAAAAATTAAAAAAAATTAAATAAGGTGGCCTACAGGGTCAACCGTATTTTTTAGGATAGATTTACCGTATCGTGCTATTGGCTGCTGCTGGCCACAGTCTAGCCGTGTACTAATTATATCAGAAATAACGCAACATTAATGATTTCTTATATTTACGCGAACACTACATATAAAATGAAACTAATTTTTACGGATTTATTCGCGTTTAATTTAATTTTTTAGTTCCCGACGTTTCGGGTGCTTTACAGCACCCATGGTCACGGGGGTACTGAGGTGTTTGATGTCCCGATGTCATAGTTAGCCCGGCTTTTTCCAATTTTTGAATACTAATTTTTTTTTATTGCGTAGACTGGATCAAAATTTAATATTCAACAACTGAAGGTAGCCCCGAAAGCACCCGAAACGTCGGGAATTAAAAAGTTAAATTAAACGCGAAAAAATCCGTAAAAATTAGTTTCATTTAATGTGTGCGCACGGGGTTTAAACACCGCCAAATTCCTGACTCCAGTCTGTATTTGTTAACAAAACTCAATAACTGATTTTGGCCCAACTCCAGATTTGAACCCGGGATCTTATGATTATCAATTGCTTTTTACGATCTTATTCAAAGTCCATTCACTTTCCTTTTGAAGATACCCGCATTGTATTTGGAAGGACGATTGACAAGCAAGGTAAGGTCTTCGGATTATTATAAATTTGACTGCCATATTGGTCTAGTAGCTGTAAGTGCCACTTCTGATCATGTGGTCACGGGTTCGAATTGGGCCAAAATTTGTCATGGGGTTTTTCGGTTAATAAATGATCAGTAGCAGCCTGGAGTCAGGCAGTCGGCGGTGGGTTATCACCTTGCCTTAGAAAGCACTTAAAGCCCGTTAGTTTTGCGCCCGATTTTTTTTTGATCGTGTTGAATTACCGCCCCATAGCACTGTAAGAGTAAAAAGAGAGTGCACCTGCACCTTTCACACACTTGTGCATTGTACTAAGTACTTGTCCTGCGCAGTTGGCGAAATTCGGTCTGGAGGATATTGATTTAAGTTACCAAGGGGAATGTATTATCCAATTGCTCTACCAATAGCAGAATATAGGCAATTTAAAAAAAAAGTATGTTTTTTTTTTAATAAAGTCTTGAAAAATCCGGAATACCCTTTTTGGGTTTGCAGGATTTTCTGATAGCGCCACGGGTTCAAGGATTTTTAAGATCTACAAATTATGTTTCCGGGTGTGGATGTTTAGTGTGAAATTTATGTAAATAACTGCCTCTACAATTACAGTAGAAAACCCTAGTATGGAAGTTATGTTTTCCTTAATGAAGTAAGGAATGAAGAAATTTAATACAGTGAGTGAGTGAGTGAGTCAATTGGGGCTTTATATATATACATTGATTGATGGTGTTGCCACTAGCCTTTGAAAGCCATGACGTATTTCCAACAAATGTGGTATCTCTATGGATTCTACTCCACTACCACATAGCATAGAACAAAGACAAGCTAATTATACCAGTTTTTCGACACCAAAGAGTCAGTAACAATTCTTTCATGGGGCAATCTATACGCTTTGATAACAAAGTACCAGATAATATGCAGGACCTAAATTGATTGAAGAGGATTCTAAATTGATGTTTAAAAAAAAGTTCCGCTAGGTTTCTCGCTGGTTCTTCCTAGAAAAGAGCGTTTTTCTGAACCAGTGGTAAAGTTAAAATGACTATCAATAAGTAGTCTTCTAATCTGTATTGAATAATAATTATTCTATTCTATTCTATTCTATATGCGCACGATATTAATTGATCGCCACATTGAAGCGACACAGTTACCAACTCCACCACTATAGAGTCAAACGGTGACCGAGTTGATAACGTCAATTATGTGGTTAAATAACAATTATTGTAATGACATGACCACTTATGTTGAAATAAGTGTTATCGTTTAAATTTAAGTTCAGGTTTTAGATGATATTCACTAATAGTAACACGGAGTAGGTCCGAATACCAGCGTAAAATAGCAGCGTAATGCCGCTGTGTTTCGTATGGTCAGTGTAGAGAACCGGAGACCCTATTTACTGTAAACGAGGCATTCAATCTTAGTTCTCACGGCTGACAACGCATCTGCATTTTGATTCGCAAACGAAGATAGATGTAGATGTCTATGGGCCACAGCAACCACTTACCATCAGGAGGGATGTGTGCTCGCTTGTCACCCTTATCCTATAAAAAATGTAGGCTAGACGACTCCATATCAAGTTAATTTGACCAATTTTTTTATCTATAAATAAATTATACGTGGTAGAGCGATTCTACAGTTTTATTGTAGTTGTAGCATGAATGGGTCGCCTCGACCAGGGGTTCTCTACACTTACCACACGAAACACAGCTACATTAAACCGCTATTTAACTGACTTCAAAAAGGAGTAGGTACTCAATTCGACTGTATTTTTATTTTTATGTGTGTTACCTCATAACGTTTTTTTGCATTTTTTATTTTTTTTTATTGTAAAGCTGGTGCTTATCATGTAGTCTTTTATAAATTTGATCGAAATCTGACCAGTAGTTTTTGTGTTATCTATAATAATTTATATTGAAGTCGGTTGTATAAATATTTTTATTTTATCACTTGTTTACGCTGGTATTCTGTGAGAGCATGAGCCTACCCTGGTCGAGCCGACCCTTTTGTGCTACAACCATAATATAGCTCCAGCGTGGCTCTACCACGTATAAAAATGTTAAATTTTCTTGATGACAGCACAAAATAATTAAAAATCATTCAGTTGCCTCCTGGCCTGTCAAGCGTAACTATGGCATATATCTTCTCTATGAGGCAATGTATTGGGAAGGCCAATGCTCAGCATTGAATTTTCAGAGGCTGTAATGATGATGATGATGGAAATTCTTATTACTAAGTAACATCAGAATACACATTTTAAGGATGTAAGTGGCAAACGAGCACATAGTCCACGTGACGGTGTTAGATAGTTGACTTGATGCTATGGACCATAGATACCTACATCTATACT